GCCCTGTACCAGATCAGTAGCGTACACGCGACGTTGGTGATGAAAGAGAACGCCCAGGAAATGAGTTCAGCGTGTTCGCAGACGGGGCCCCCGCCAGGAATGGACGACAATGTTTCGACTTCCGCACCAGTGAGGCAGATGACATCGACAGTTGTGAAGGCTTTATTGCTGTATAGGCACAAAAACTCCACCAGAAGATGTAAATAAGTGGCACGCACCAAGAGAGATCAACAGCGGAATACATGGAACAAGCCTGGGCCATAGCGTACCCGGGTATAAAGCATGTACGCGCCAGATAACGACGCTGTCCCCGACAAGCATCTAGAACCGAGATCAAGCTCAGCTTTTACAGCGCGTCGGCTTCAGAAGCGCACATTGAACAGGAAGAGCGACTCCATCGAAGGGGCTAGGGCCCTGAATTTGGCATTGTCCGCATCCAGACGGTCTTGCAACCCGAGCTCCGGGTGGTCATCGATGTCCACAGACATACGCTCGAACCACTGCGTGACGTTCAGGCCCCAGAGCGTGAGGGACGTTGCGTAGAGGTATACGACGATGCCGAGCATCAGGATTGAGCGACTTGACTTCATGCCCTTGCGGCTGCAACAAATTTGGTCAAGTTTCACGAACACACGGGGTAGAGTACGTAGGAGAGCGTATACGTACACGATGGACCAGATAGCGATGGCAAAGAAGACACTGTAGGCGCCTGGAAATGGTCATTTGGAGAATCTTAAAAATTGCCTGCGTACTTAGGAAGAGGGTCTCCCAGATTAAACCAACAGCATCTTGAGTTCTGGCACGACCTAATCTGAAAAGCAGTTCACTGGCTTGCGGAGAGAGAGTAAGGGATGAGTCGGAGTCGGAGGACATGGTGGGGCAAGATAAAGGAGTGCAAGCGCTGCTTCAGCTCTCATCACAGTGTATACACCCGACGGAATGCGCCGGTACACCGTATCATGAGGTAGCTGAGCGGCTTTACCTCATCCGGCGTCGCTTTTTTTCGCCAAAGATCCGGATTCCATATTCGGGATAATCCCTCTAGATAACAGGAAAGGAAAAATCCTGGTGAGAATGGCATCATCAGGGTCCGTGCACGATACCTTAACATATTGACCGATCTCCACGGGAGATCCCCGCCGGGTCAGTTTCGGGGTGAATAGGCGATATAGCTTCGGGTCTCGTAGAGTCGGTCCCTATAGAGAGCCAGCCAATGGTAAGTCGAAGCAAGCACCGGGAGCATCCCGATTCCCGAGCTGGTGCACCTCGGGACTCCGATAAATAGGTCGACTGTTAACGGCAAGTCCTGGGGTTGACAGAGAGTCGTATATGGACCCTTTGTATATCGTGGCGAAGAAAAATGACCCTCGGATTTCAGACTTGCACTGGCAGGTGTCGCAGACGAGACGTGTGCTGTCGAAGGAGGTTTAGTCCCGTGATGTGACGCTCAAGTCGATGACTCTGATCGCTCGTGATCTGGCTGTGACACTCTCTCACCCAACTCTCACCACCACGCCAGGAACATACACTTCTTGTTCCTCGTGTTGGACGAGGCCTTGAGGACCATGGTATTGACTTATACTCCTGGCTCGACAGGACCGTACTTATGTTCTTTGGCCATGCGCTCCGAGGAGGTGCTTGACGACCTCAGGCTGCCATGAACCAGTGACCGGGGGAATGACTCGCTTTGACTCATGCTTCTGCTTGGGTTTCCTTCGCTCGGTGCATGTCTTGCATCAGCAACTATATGTGAGTCCTCCTGCTCCCCCCTTTTCAACGACTGGCCCTCATCACGGGTCTGCGCCCCCCGAAGGGCTCTTCTACCCAGGTTTTTTTACCGTCAAAACCAGCCTGCGCTTTCGCAACGGAAATCCGAAACATTTGACTATCTCTGCCAGGATTTCAGGCTCTTCGAACGTACCACACCGCTTTCAGTGTGCGCCAAGTCCCTCCCGCACCGATTTCAATGTCAGGTGATTGGTCGAAATATCGTTGGCTCAGTCCGGAAGACGAAATTCTCGAGACACCAAGGTTCAAATCATCCTTTGGCGCTCACGACGTACACGCTTAAGTTGACGAGTCTTCAATTACAGTATTGCTAAAAACGGTCCGACCCGTGCTATGCCGTACGTCCGTTCTGCGGAATGATGTGCCTTTTTCCAACCTCCCATCCAAGTTCCTAGGAGGCTTGCGTCACATGTGCACGCGCGGGAAGAGGATCCTGATATATATATATATATCCGGCTGAACCACCGCCTACTTCCCCTTACCGAGTCCGTCCGTAGACGGCACTTGGACGGCACCCTAACACACCCTTCTCGGATCTCACAGCGTCCGTCCACCTCCCACCCACGCCCTACAGCTTACATCGCCTGCCTCGACGGCCCCGTCCCCCGCGTGCAGAGCCCGTCGCTCCCATGTCACTCCATGCTGGCTAGATGATTGTGCGGCCAGGGCCTCGGTAGTACTGCCGCCCCATCTCCCGCTGTTCCCTGCTATCTCCTCCCTACATCACAGTTCAGAGATGGGATCATTCAGACGCTGTTTTTTATCACTGACGCTCTACTGTAGCCTCTGCACTGGATATGGTTCGTGCGACCACTCCGCACTTGATGTGATGCAGACTCGGATCCGCGGGTAAGTAGCTTCGACCAGCTTTCACTCCCTTACCGCCACCTGGCTGCCTCGCCCACGCATGTGGCTACCACATTCATTTTCCGATTTTCTTCCCCAAGCCTGTGTCACGCTCCTTCCCCTCTTCCTTGCCTCTGCCGCCGTCGCTGTGGTAACCTCGACCAAGATCGACGACACGGATTCCCGCTTCAGCTTCCCCTCAAACTGGAACGCAATCACCCCGTCCTCGCCTTGCGGCGGCTGTGGTGCGCAGCCAGACGACATCTCGCAGATCTACCAGCAAACATGGCATGACGGGAACTACATGGCTGGGAACCCGCAACAGACCACGGGGTCGTTCACGTTCACAGGTCACTTCGCCTTGATCACATCCCGACTATAAACTAACGCCCGATGCCCTGTGCTACTCAGGTTCTGCAGTGGAGATATACGGCATCGACACCGATCGCTCACAGGCCAACATCGTGTTCACTCTGGGGAGCCAGACGTCGACTCACCACTATAGCGGCTCGACCCGCTTCACGTACAACGTCTTGTTCTTTTCCGCGTCGGGGCTCGCTGCAGACCAGTCGCATACCGTCACCTGGCAGCTGCAGACTGAGGCGACGGAGGCTGCGGCTGGGATCAACCTGCAGGATGCGCTTTTTGACTACGCAATCGTGACGAGCGGTACGGATGATAGTGGGACTGGGACTGGGACTGGGACTGGGACCGGTACCGGATCGGGCAGCGACACAGGCTCAGGCGGCGGCGGCTCTACCGGTAACACTGGTAATGCTGGCTTGACCACGATCCCGGGCTCGAACTCCGGCTCCTCGCCCAATCCCAATTCCGATACAGGCAGTGGTGCAAATAACGGCCAGCCGGGCTCCAGTGCGACCACGACCGGCGTACCACGCAGCGGTACCACATCCAGTAATGAGTGCGGACCGCTATCTTCTCCTCGCATCAACGTACTAATCCCACAGAAGCAATGGTATTCACTCTTCGTGAGCATTCTTTCTATCATGATGTTATAGACCGTTTCTTATTGCATACCTACTAGTCCTGGATCATCCAGCAGAAGTGTTCTTTCAAGTAGTCATACCGCATTGTATGTGTTCCTTTCATGTTTTCGCGTCCACGTCGCCGCCACTGACGGTGCTGCTTGCAGGGGCGCTACCCAAACAACGTACGCATCCGTCCTCCTATCTTGGTAGTATTATAATATTGACAACACGTCTCCAGTTCCAACCCATTATCCTCTTCTACGTGTGTCCCTTGGTTGCTCGACTTTTCCGTCAACTAACTCGCCCACAGATCCATCAATAAGTGCGTGGATTCATTGTGTAATGAGCAGCCCTTTGAAGCGTATCAGCGGAACCTCCGGCGGTGCTCCCGCAGACAACGTACTGCAGGTGAACCAAGGTGTGCCTATCGGCGCCATCATTGGCGCCGTGATTGGTGCGCTCGCGCTCAGCATCCTTGTGGCCATCATATTTTTCGTACACCGCCGCCGCCGCCACCGCCAGCGCGAGCGCGAGCGTCAGAATCAAGCCCAGGTGCCTGAAACACCCGCCCCTCGCGTACGCCGCATCCGGGGAAACTATGTCGTGCCATACCCCTCCGACACGGCTGGGGCCACGTCCGCTTCTTCCCCCTCAGAGTCTCCCCCCTCGGCATCCGAGAAAATATGTGCGTCCGCTCACCCACCCACCTTTGCTCCCGGTTCCATGCTAAATGTCGTACTTAGACGACGTGGCTTGGAATAATTCTGGGTCGCCCGTATCGCCCCGCTCGGCGGCGACGAACCCGCTTCCCTCCGTGAACGAATCCAGAAATGCGACTTCGCTGACGCCTGCGATGGTTGAGGCGGGTCCCACCCCGCGAGAGCGCCTTCTCGAAGCGCGGTTGGCGCAAATTGAGGCGCGCATAGCGGGCGAGGACGCACCCGATCCGAGCGCGCCTCCTCCCTACGTCCCGCGCGATTGAATCTCCCGTATTCCGATCGGTGTTGTATGTGTATGTGTAGATAGGTTGAACGGACACACTGTTAATTTTTCTATAGCTTCAACTCCTTCGAGTAGTACGTTCATACTTCACACTTCTACACGGAGGTTCTGCGCCGTTGCGGAACCTGCACTTACATGTCCCTCCCGCAAATACCAATGGGCTGGCTATCGCGAATCGTGATAGGATTTAAAGTTGAAACCCGCCGCGTCCTGGAAAACTCGGTCCTGACTGATTTAATATTGAGCAATATCCGAAGATCTCTCATATAGATTGTCAACGTGCAGTCCAGTAAACTGATATGACTCTCCTCGTTACATTTTTTCGTGGCGAAAAGCAGGGATGCTGAGACGTCATCAAATGAGGCGACGTTCATCTGCCCCCTGGCCCAGCTGGTTAAGGCGCACGACTGTTATTCCCGTTCTTTCCGGCTCGGCAGTCCTCTACCGACGGTTACGGATCAAGTATATCGTGAGATCGAGAGTTCAACCCTCTCGGGGGCAGGTCTTCGTTGGCTTTTTGCTTCCGTAGGACCTATCAATTGATCTCCACTGCATGAAACGGTCAAGTTTCGGAAAGTGCGGCCATATATTATCTGCTCATTCATATTGACTAACTAGCATGTCAACTATCTAATTCCATGACACGATCAAAGAAAATCCCAGTCCACCTGGATGTGGCCAAGGTCGGGATCTGCCAGCTGAGCAAACATTCCCGCTGTTAGATCCAGCCCTCCCGGAGTGCAGCCTGGACACAAATCCACGACAGTTGCGACGAGCGACACTCCGTTGTCTGATAGCCGCGGGCATCATGTTAATGTTAGGAGCGGAATTCGGACAACAAACGGAGACTCACACTGAACGCTGACACTTCCTCCACAGTGCGCGCCGCCAGCAAAAGTGTCGCTGGAGAGCGCCACCGCGAGATCGGTATCTTGTATAGGGTTCCCGCAGGCCCCGAGATTCCCCTCGGGGTTGTAGAACGTCGCTGGAATGACACAGCTCAGTGCGAGGCAAATCTCGAGAGGAAAATCTTACCTGTGCCAGTGGTTGACCGACGAACGGGAAAAGAGCCGGCTGTGCTAGCCAGAATGGCCAGAAGAAAGGCAGATGCACGCCAGGTGATCTGCATGGTGTATGAAGAGAAGAGGCAAGAGCGTAGGCGGGAATGAACGAACGAAGATTTCCGGGGAGCTCTGCTGAGTTTCCATTCCTCTTATACTTTCCACTGTAGAACTGGATCTGGCGGTTCTGTCATCCGTCAAGTTGTGTCTGGACGACAAGGCGTCGGGATGCCCCTCGAAACTGATGTGGTTGAATCAGCGGGTATCTACGAGAATGGTGCTCGCCGGTTTTACACGCGTGATGGCGGCCCGCCTGCCTTGTGCTTTCTCGAGGCAGCAAAGTTGGTATTGAATCAACCTACCTGAAGACAGCCTCGATCCGCATCTTGAACTGATCTTATATCTGCCTGTATTATAGCCCCATCTTTCCAAATAGCTATATATATAGATGATGCAACTGCCAGGTCCTGTTAAGAATCCGGTCTTCGCGCGCTGCCGAAGCCTTTGAGGAATGAGCTGTCTAGCAGCAACCGAAATGTATTTGAGTTCAAGAATCCCTTAAATCAGCAACGTTCACCGTGAATCGTACCAAACAGCCGAATAGTAAGAGCGAATCTTTACTAGACGTGATTTACGGAATATTCTCGTAGATCTTAGGACTGCGATGCTTAGATGCATACCCGCTAGGCAAGGCAACAACTAGCTCTGTGGTAGAACTCACAGCAGAAGGCTGGTGCTTCAAGTGATGATGGATTGCAAAGGTAAGGTGTGTTGTCTACATGAGGGGGAAAGCTCCCTTTATATACCTAGAGATACCCTAAATCGGGATAGATGACGCGTCGAGGTCGGGCAGTGCTGACACACGCCCGAGAGTGCATGCCCGAGCCATGTCCGAGGCACATGGCCGGCTCTCGGCGTTCTCGGCGATGTTCACGAGAGGTCATGGAGGCTAATGGGCCGAAGTAAGTCCATATCCATCACAGGTCCGAGGAAGACTCGAGACGGAACTGACGGAGTGCGAAAATGAACATGCATCCTGTCTCACTACGCCGGTGCGTCTCATGTGGTACGGGGTAGTTGAAGCGACGGTTTCCACCGCTATTTCGAACCACAACGTGTACTAGGCGCATGTTTGCAAAAACGGAGAACTCCGGCGTCAGCGGCACGAGAGACAAAACTCAACCAACTCGGAATCATGATGGTATATATAACCAGCTGCGATCAGTAACATAGAGAACTGACAGGTCAACATGTGCGGTCCCCAGTATAGAAATTGTCGGAAAAATCGAAAACGCCTGATCAAGACTGATCAGGCCATATCAAGTTCGGTCAGGCCATCAGGTCTCCCCGCAGCGGATCAGGGTCGAAAAACCCTTATAAAGTACTGATCATGCTGATCTGCCTGACAGGCCTGATCAGCATGACCAGATCTGATCAGGATAAGCTGGCAGTAACGAACAAAAGAACGAATCTAATGTCCTTGGTCTTGCGTAGTCCTAGTTCATACTCACTTACTTTCTTATGACTTACCATTAGATTTTAGTTGAAGGGGCACAACATACTAGAAATCGGGTTATGACTGGGGTTTGAACACAAGACCTTAGCGGAGCACTATAAAAACAGAGCCATTAACCGCTCTGCCAAAGGGAACATGACCAACAATGAAGCCCCACACACTAGATACCCTTCTTTTTTCGGCATATCAGTGCTGATCAGACCTGACCAGACCTGGCCGCATACTTAACCCAAGCATGGCAATCGTCAGTCACTGTACTAATCGTCGCGACAATACGTGGGGACCCCGCAACGATTCGAACGACCGCAGAAGCTGATGAAGTACTTTTAACTGCAACAGGTAATACTCGACAGCCCCAGTGAACAATGGCGTCCCATTTTCGCATGCGTCTGCAATTCAAAGTTTATGTGATGCACTTCAAGTTTGCAAAGCAAGTGGCAATTCAATGTTGCCCTCGTATACGGGTGAGTCAGAGGCAGCAAATGGAGGCCAAAAACAATGTGGGCTGGATGTCAAGTGTGTAAGGTGCGTTGCTGACCTGATGACGGTGGAAAGGAAAATCTGCATTACTTTGTGGATACAGTAGACATAGACATGTTCTTACACGCCAATGAGTGGGAGACTACATAACTATCCATTTCTTGACTTTGGTTGAGCTCTGACTAGATCTGCCTGACCATCGCTGATATGGGAAACCTTGAAGCCTGACATGGACCTGATCAGGCTCCGTCAGGCCGTCAGTGCCCGTCAGGACCGGATCAGGTAAAATCGATTTTTCCGACTTAAAGATATCTGATTCACCCTGACTCGCCAACTCAGAATTACTGCCAGGCCTCGAGTCGTACGGCCCGCGGGCTAGAGCTAAATATGGTCGAACAAACAGATTCCATGGGTGCACCGAGTGTCTTCGCGTTCGATACAGATAGAGGGGACAAACTGACAGGAAAACAACTGTCTTCCATCTTACATGTGCTGTGAATGACTCCATGTGCCCAGGAGCTCACGTTCCTATCAGAACCGAACCGTGGGAACAGTTATTGATCGAGGGCATCAGTGTCATTATCTTCATTAACTTTTAAGAGGACGCATACTCTACAAAACGATACGATACAATACAATGTCAAAGTCCAAGCCTCATCAGACGAGCATCCAGTACACGACATGACACAGGCTGTTTTTGTGCGAGCCGCATTCAGGTCCCGCGGTGGAACGCGCCCTCCCGCAGCGCGCGCAGCGTGCGCAAGAGAGATGCCCTGCGCGAAGGAGGGGCGGGGGTGTCTTGCAGGGGAGTGAACTCGTACTTGGTGGGGGAGGAGGCAGCGTTTGGGGCGGTGAAGGACGAGGGCGGGGCAGAGGGGGCTGATTTGGTGGGGGTGGGTGCGGAGGTTGGGGACGCAGAAACCGGGGGCTGAGAGGAAGTGGGAGAAGAGTCGCGCACGCGCCCGGGGCGCAGCGCACGCAGGAGGGATGCCTTACGCGATGGGGAGGAGGCAGGGGAGTCGGCGCCCGATGCGGGCTTGGCGAACGCCGAAGGGGGGGCCGACGCGGATGAAGTGGGAGCGGAGTCCAGGCTCGCGCGCGCGCTGAAGGCCGACGGGGGCGACGCTGCGGGAGTAGAGGCGGATGCAGAACGCACGTGTGACGTTTTGGACGAGGTGCGGCGCGAGGCCCAGCGGACGAACGCCGAGGGTGTTTTGGGGGACCCGGGTGAGTGGGGCGGGGCGGGGGAAGAGGGCGCGGTGCTCGGCGTGGCAGTTGAGCCCGAACCGGAGCCCGAGCCGGAAGAGTTCGAGTCCGCTGCGGGCGGAGACAAAGTCGGACGGGAAGTAGACGATGGAACAGGGACGACGCCGTGGTCGATGAGCTGCGTGCGGCGGCGCTCCTCCGCTGGGGGCGAGGGCGGAATGGGCGCGGCGGTGGACGCCTCCGACGGTGGGCGTTCACCCTCTGGGTTCTCCCCGCACTCAGCATCGGCGTGGGCCTCGGACGGCACGGGCGTCGAGGAGCGCGACGAGCCGGAACCCGCGTACGCGTGGGTGCTGAAGTTGCTCACGACGCTACCGTCTGTCGCCAGGGGGTACGGCGTGTGTACGGCGAGATTCGAATTGGCGGCCGCAATGCGGTGCGTGCTTGCAGACCCCGAGGGGGCGCCGGTGGTTTGCGCTGTGGAGAAGGCGAGTCAGTACAAGAAAAGATATCAAAGATAGAGATGTGAACATGGAGAATACGCACGGAAGTAGGAAGCAACTGTAGGCGGGAGGAGCCCCTTCGCCTTTTCGACGTCTGGCAGGTACGCTTTTGCCGCCGTCAGCAAACCAACGTCCGAGTCGGTACCTCCGCGATGATCCCACTTGTTGTCCGCGAAGACGACGCTGTTGCGCGGATAGCCGCCCGGCACCTGCGGGCCCGGCGTCGAAGGCATCGATGTCAGCGGTGGTGCTGCACGCGGGGGGCGTGCGTGTGTCGTGCTCGAGTCCGAGTCCGAAGGCATGGGGAAGGAGGACGGGGCGGGCATCAAGCGAAGTGGAAGCAAGAACTCGAAGGGGGAATTCGAAGTGGGAGGGCGGGGAAGAAGCGGGGACGGAGAACTCAGGATATTTGAGGTGATTTATACCTCTGGATGCGTGGACCAGGGCTGGACCGCGCTCCAACGAAAATGACGCCTAATGCCCCCGATCAATGATTCCTCCCACGGTTCGGTTCGACGGAAATTGCCGGCGCCTTGAGCGGGTGCTTCAACATCAAACCAGGAGATAGTGTACATGGAAGCGCTCACAGCAATTCGGAACCCGCATGCTCGAGCCCTGCATCTGATAAAATCAATCCACAATTGATTGGGTTCCCTTCTTTACATACAAGTTTGCCCGGTCGAATGCAAAATTACCGTCACGCAGGTTGAGTTTTGCTGAATAGTAATCTCAAATG